GCGAGCCTAAGAACTTGGGAAATAAGTTTTCGTCTATGATTTCGTTATTACCTCTTTTTAGTTATTCCGGCTGTATTAAGAAGTTTTATTTCGTTTCGTTTCGGCGAATGTTTTAACGGGAATTTTTCTCACGGTCACGAGCCGTCTGACCATATAAATTACAGGTTCACGCTTCTCGGAGAGGCACGCTTCCTCGTGCCTCCCTCTGTTTAACCATGGACCGTGTAATTGTGTGCATTTACGCCCCGCCCCATCCCTCCGCGATATCCATTTAAAGCGTTCCATTGATCCACCGAACAAAAAAAAGTACTAAACGCGAATTTCCCATTTTCAGGCCGCGTTATTCTGTTCAATGAACGCCGTCGGTGAATTAATTCGCCTGGCAAAAAGAATACGACGGAGTTACGAGCACTGTAATTGGAAGGCCCGTAGAGTTTATTCGCCCATTACACACTGTCAAAAGTTTATAAGCTATACTGGCAATGTAAAAACAGTAGAAAGGAGTCGATTGTGAATGCGCGGTTGTCGGAAATGCTTGCCACGAACGTTTATAATTCAAGAACGAGTAAAATTATTTTCATGGATCACGATGAACAATTTAAGAAAAATTACTATTAGATTTTGCCGAGTAATCTGAAATTCACTACATCAAGAAGTTATGTACCCTGTATTATTTAATTTGTCTTGTATTCGGACTAATATAAGGTGTTAAATTCAGCACATCCAAGGTTTTTATAGTCTTCTGTTTGAAACTAGAATTATTTATATCTGTGAAAATTTAATTTGGAAGTTTACTCTTTCACGACAGTGAAGTCATACGTGAAATTCAGTGGATTCGCTGGTGATCAAGGTCGCTTATATGTATGAGCCCCTCAGAAGTCAAATTGATCGATTCTATTTATTGTAAAGTTCTTACGTTTAATATCTTTAATTTGTTTATTTTTGTGTTTTAACTATTTTAAAATTAACTTACATTTTAAATCATGTACCTTGTTTTATTTATGTTTTCATAACACGTCTTAATTTTTCATTTTCGTATTGTTTTGATCAAGATTCAAAAACTCCCATTACACTTTTAATTTCTGAATACAACTCTGAAACAGTTTCGCGTACGACCGATATCATAGCTATTAAAAGTGAGAAAGTGTTTCATGCAGCGCGTGTTGGGCCGTAGAAAGCATCCAGACCAGAACATATGTACGCGCGCTGCGTTCAAAGGATCAATTGGACGCGCATACATTCATGTTTATAGTAAGTAGAAACACCAAGCATTGAGCAAACGAGTCAACCATGTTGAACCCCAGGTAGCATACAGAATGCTTAATGACGTCTTAAAGGCGCCTCAGACCTAAAATAGCCGTAAATTTGACATCCTCCAGGCGTCATGTGCTATCTGGGACGTATTATTTCGAGGGCCTACGGTTTACACGTAACATACTATAAATGCAGATTTAAGCATGAATAACTGTTAAAGCTTCAAACAAAATGAGTGAATGTATTTCTATTTCAATAAGATCTGAATATAAATACTTAGACTAGAATTCGATTCGTATCAATTTAGGGATTAAGTTGTAAAAAAATTATTTTTTACATACAGGGTGACCAGCAAAGTGTATTAGGTACTATTAAGCAAAGTATGATTCTCTATAAAAAAATTAATCGGAAATGAAGAATAAAATTTGTTCAAATAAGGCTTCGTTTTCGGGACAATCGATTTTGAAAATGTACCTACTAAGCATGCGTGCACTTCACTCCAAAGTAATAACTTGAAGAACCTTCGTGTACATTATACACTTTCTGCAGAATTCACTAGTTTGTCAATGTGAGATAAAAAAATATTCATAAGACGAAATGTTTACTTTTTAAAAGTTTCATTTTATTATCCTAGAAATTGCTGGAAGTGTTACCCATGTTGTTGCATACATTTCGTATCATACTACTACGAACTCTTTATAATGCGTTCATATTTGGTACAAATTCAAATGCAAAGACAATCCTCTCCTTTAAATTTTCAATACTGGTTGTCTTTGGAATAGACTATCGATTTGATATGAGTCCATAAACAAAATTCTATAGATATAACGTACACTTTCAAAATCCATTTTCTCAAAGTTTATGAATTTTCTCGAAATGTTATGAAAGATAATTTTGTTTTGTATTTTCGATGTATTTTTTTACGGAAAATCACATCACTGTGTAGATCCTAAAACTGTTCTACGAAGCACAGAGGCCCCGTCACCGAAATCGAAAACCGCTTTCGACCGTTCGCGGATCGTGAAGTGCATGCATAACTCAGGAAAACGACACTCTGGCAGGGTCACCAATGAGACTCCGTGTACAGGAAGAAACATATTGCGATGAGCATATCCGCTTGGCCGCGGCTGTGACACGAGTGGCAAACGAAGAAAGTGGGGTGATGGGCAACGTACACGAGATAACGGAGGAATGGGACGAGAAACGGAGGACAGAGATAGCAGATGCGAGCATCGGGAACGATAGCCCGTTGTGTACGCACATGCAAGAATAGCTGGTGTAGAATGTCAAAAAAAGAAGAGAAAACAACCGGGGAAAGGGAGTAATACGAAAAAAGGGGTACGTGTGCTAACAGAGTAAGAACCGAGAGAAACTTGGAGGAATAAGAAATTATGTTCAAAAGACTGGGAGGATTGAGCAAAAAGGGGGAGTCTTGCGAGACAATAACCAAATTAATAAATTGTACAAGAAGGAAAAACGGGGAAGAGCTTGGAAACACAGAGGATGAGGAAAGAGAAATTAATTATGATGCTATTTGTTGAAAAATTACACGAAAACAGAACTTATTAGCGTTCTTTATGTAGACTTTCTGTGTGTTAACATATTTCATTTTCCTCTTTGTCAAATTGTGCATTGTATCTTTGACCGTGTTCTATTCTGGATTCTTGGGATCCTTCGTTTAGTATCCAAATAGAAAAAGTAATGTATGCAAAAACCCTAGTAGCATTTATGGTTGGCCAACGGTATCCAACAGTTAAGAGTTAGTTGGGATACAGTTTAGTGTTTTTACCTACAAATTCTCAAAATAGGGCCTACAACGAAAAAGCTATGACAATTTGCCAACAAATATCCAATGTTGGGCCTACAATTGTTATAGTTGGTTAATTAACAAGAAATTTACTTTTTATCAAAGTTTGTCAACATTTAGATATCGTCTTAGAGACGTCAAGAAACGTTGCTACAACCAAAAACTTGTCATTATATTTCAAATTGATTTTTTTTGTTTCCTTATTTATGAATATACTCACAATTTGTTACTGTCGCGTAACACGTTTGACACTTGAAATTTTGTGAAAATACAGTCAGGCGACAGAAGATTGGAAATAACATATAATAATTATTTGTACTAGTTAGCTACATGTATAAATTGTACATAATAAATTGTAAAGGTAACTTTGATGGTAAAACACTTGTTTACTTGTTTATTATAGATATACAATTTATACATGTATATAATTATTATAAGAAGTAATTATTATAAATATTCTTTCCAGTGTTATACTCCTTCAAATATTTGTAAAGGATTTTATGGAAGTGTAGTATAGCTAACTGTCTTCCTATTGTTGGTTTATTGTAGATACTCAACAATTGGCCCTACAGAAAGAAACCTCCAGTTGGCCCTTCGTAGTATAGTGACGTGGGCCCTACATTGGGTGTGATTGTTGGCCTAGTTGCAAAAAATGGTAACAATTCTAACTGTTGGCCAACCAATAATGCATCAAAGGCCCATCAAAATGCCAACACTAATTGCTACTAGGGAGGTATTCATGTGCAGTATGAATCGTCTTCTGACTGTATATTTATAAAATATAATTAAGGTACAGTGATAAAAGATTCTAAGAGACGTCGGAAACATCATTTGTGAAGACTGATTAAATTTTTACATGACTGCCAATTCTGATAACGTCAACTATTCCTTGAGCGATTCTGTATGCATGAAAGTCGTTGGAACCCGTTTCAACTTTCGATTAGTGAAACAGTCATCACCAATAATATGTTACAAACCGGAAGTTGCACTAGTGATACGTGAATTTAACTTCATTCAATTTAATATTGCAATTGTATCATAAGCTACATATCTATACGCTAACTATTAACACTCGCCCAACAAATGATCAACACGTACAAGGAAAGTCTGTCCCGCTCAGAACGCGATTAAATAGCAAAACACGTTAAGCACCAGATTAACCGGGCAACGATTCCGATCTCCACGGTGCCGCGTCGGGAGCAAAAAGAGAGGAACCCGGAGGTCCAGAGGTCTAAATTACAAACTGACCCGAATGGAGTCGCGCGCACGAGGATGCCACGAAACAGCGAACAAGGTTCATCGGCGGGCCGGAGCTGAGAAGCGGAGTCGTCGGGTGCAGGCCTGCAGCGTTACCAGCAAGGAAACGAGAAAGAAGATTGTCGCTTGGTTGGAAAGAAGGACGCGGGCCAGCTTCGAAGAAAGAGAGAGCCGGAATGGAACGAGAGCTGGTGACGGAGGAGCAGTACAGCCAGCAGACGCGTGTGGAAAGAGAGAGAGAGAGAGAGAGAGAGAGAGAGAGAGAGAGAGAGAGAGAGCTTCGCGTCGCGGCTGGATGAGAGGAAGATAGTCGTCGTGGCGTTGAAGAACCGAACCGTGGAACGGGAGAGAGATGATGAGACTGAAAGGAAGAAGAAACGAGGCCTGCGTGGGCGACAGAGAGAAAGGAGCCCAGCGAGAGGAAGATCGTTGGTGTCTGGAGTGAGAGAAAACGAGAAGCGACTGTGAGGGAAAAAAGGAGAGACAGGCGAGTGGAACGGAGAGCGATCATAGAAGGGAGACAGACGGAGAGAGAAATGAGGAAGGAAGAAAAGAGGCCGAGGCAGAGACCTACATATTCCATGGGGCCAATGAGACGGCGCAATGTGGCGGCACGGTACGCTCATCCTTCTCCAACCCGTTCGCCGGCACTCGGGAACGTAGAACGGCGCAGCCAGCCGACGATGGTAGGGGGACAACCGAAGGTAGCTTGGCGAAGAACAGCGCGGCCACGATTCAGTTGCTCACGAGCATTCGCCAGCATACGATCGAACCATGGCTGCCCGTTACGAGAATACCGCGAGTGTTGTGCTCGCGTCGTGCCGTATGGTGCTACTCGTGTTCACCACCGGTCTTGTTCTCGCGAACGCTAATCAGAATCAACTGAAAGTCGAGAAACTGTACGTACCAGAGGTTTGTGACGTAAAGTCGAAGATCGGTGACCAGCTCACGATGCACTACACCGGCACGCTGCAGGACGGCACCAAGTTTGACTCAAGGTCAGTGACACTTGGCGAACGATCCTTCTGACGTGGTTAGCTACCCACGCGTTTCCACACGCCTGTGTCTCTTTCTCACTGATCTACCAGTCGAATCTACTTCGAGTACACGTGTCCATGTATTGCGTGTGTCTTAAAGTGTCTTCTTTTCCTGGCAATTTTTATTTGAACGGTCGAAGGTGAAGTTGAGTCACGGTACACACGTTAGGCCTAGTTCCAACGTAGCCATGAGGTCACCGCTATCCCATATGCGAATGTAGCGACTTTTATCTATTCACGTACACGTACGACGCGATGATGTCACGGTGATAATTTGTAGGAGTATATGTTGCGATTCCGCGCTACTACAGTTTCCTGTCTGTTTGCTCGGTTATCAAAGTCTCCAAGTTTCTCCGTTGCTAATGTATGGTGTATTAATTTTGATGAAAGGAGATCGAACCGTATCGATTAAGTATTCCATCAATTCGGAACGGACAACACGTCTAGTGTGACGGGAACGTTGATGAGTTTGTACCTGGGTAACCGGACGAAAATAATTAACTCTTCCACCGATGACGGGTTCATACGACTCGAGCAATTTTTGTCGTTCCAGGTTACAAGTTGCCCGGTTATAAAGAGCACCTTATCACTCGAAACCTTGTAACATATGGTATCAATAATTTTTACTGTTCCGCTATAAACGGCTAGAGTTATTGCTGCAATATAGATTGCAGCTTCTCACGCGAGTTTGAACTGGAATACTTGCACGACGTAGACATTCCAGAGGACAAGATTTGTGTTTCTGTGTATGTATATACACTACAGCTTATAAGTATTTGCCCATCCATATTAGACACACCTTGCTGAAAAGTATGTCAAATTTTTCGAAAGGACTAGTTTTCTTTCTAAGAGAGGCCATAAAGCAACCCAAATTTCTGATCATTTATTGAAAATTACCAAAGTGAAATGTAGAATGACACGAATAAACCTTTCTTCGGTCGAAGGACAAATATATTATTAGTGTACATGACAAGTGTCTCAGTAGAGTGGTCTACAATTTGATTGTCCTTCACGCTGCCCGTATATTCCAACGAAAAAAATACATCGAACGAAACTGATTGGGTATACAGTATGGCATAGTGCAGACTGTTAGGATCTCGGTTCGACGAGCAAGACTCGCCCGTATGGTTACATTAGTGGTATCGACGTGGCCCACCGTGGATCGACGCGATCGTTGGGGCGGGAAGATTTAACTTCGCCGATTTGTCCAAAAGCGAAACGTGCTCTCACACGATTGGAGCGCGCGATGCCAACGCGGACACATTGCAGGAGGAACACGTAAACAGATGACCTGGCAAGTGTTCCGTTAATGCTTTGATTAAGCACGTCGTTTTTATAACCGTGTATATGACAGAGTTTCCAGACGCGTTACAAATAGACTATTTTTTTTTAAACACAGTGCTCGAAAGACAGAATATTCAGATCTAACATTTAAACGATTTATGCATTGATGCTTTTGATACGAATTCAATATTTGATATTTATATGGTATTTTGTGTTTATTACTTTTCTTGAGATATTTGACAATTAAATGTGACAAGGTAACTGTTGAAACATAGTGAAAATTTACAGATTTTTGCATACAACGACAGAGTCAAAAGTGAACCGTACCGCATCTGTTACTAATTGTAGCACATCCTTTTGCTTATTTCTTCTTTGCATTATAATTTTCCAATATTTTCAGAAACTGTCAAATACATACATTTCTGTAAGACTTTCAAAACTGCTTATGAGTATGAATTATGAGATAATTCGTTAGTCTTTGATGAAGTATCGAGTAACCCAAAGAATATTCAAAAGTTCATTTTGGTAAAAGAGAGTACGAAAAGTTTTTTTTTATGGAAATTTTCAAACTTTTGTCAGCACAAAATAGTACGTTATTCAAAGCTGTGTAACTTCTGAATTTTTCTCGACCATAAACAATCACTTACAATAATCAACATCTATTTTGTAATAGTATCGTCATTTTTTAATACTGTTACAAAGGCATTCTCACTTCATTATTCCGTATTTCTCTTGTTTCCTCCAATAGAATCGTTTCAAATGAATTTTCCCTTCTTCCTACAGTTTTTTTTGAATGTTTTGATAATATGCAAAACACATGCCAGGCTTATACATATAATCTATTCTTATGCAGAAATGTTTTCCTTTATTCTTTTATTTTTCAGAATCCCCTTAGAATATTTCAAGTACCAGCTGTTCGCGTGCTATAGTAAAAGGCTCGTGTCAGTACCGATAACCGGAAATCTCAGTAATGAACCGACCCGAGTACTTTAGGCCCTCGGTCATGTTCTGAAATCGGATTTGACAACCGGTTTACTTACGTTCGCCAGCGTCCGTTCCACGAACTCGTTCGTAAAATTAATTGCTCCTCGATCCAGAGGTGACAAACTCGCCCTCCGGTGGCCGTTGATCGATGGCGATTTTGCTTCTCGTGACGTCCTCGCAGAAACTGCTGCTTTCTCGGGCACACGTTGTTCACGAAACCAATTATACATTCGCGTTTAGAGCCCACGATGAAATTTTTTGTTCGTGACTCGCGAATGATCGTGCACTGAAACTTTTTTCTCTTATTCATCGATGAACCCGATAACACTGTTGATACTGGTCCTTAAATATTAACGAGTAAACAAGCCGCGTTATCGGGTGTACCACCGGCGACCTTAATTTCTTACAGATTAAACTAATCGCACCTTCTTCGGTTTTGATAGTATAAAATATTATCTCACGAGTGTCTGTGCGATGGAAATATCGGGTTATTAAGGGGAAAGATAGCTTCTCAATGCTCGTTCGTAGATAGGTTCGCAATATTGCGAAGTAATTTTCGGAAATTATAATTTTGGTTTACTTATGTTTAGGACGAAATAGATACTTTATCGTGTTTATTTATGTTCCTCCGTATTCATTATCAGTTTTGCTCAGAGTTTCATTTTGAAGGTAACTCGAAATCATAGGTTATCGACATATAGTGAGGTGACAGATAATTTATCATTACGAATTTGTACATGGTTTTGATCACACAATTTTTTTTAGACAGGGAGTGTTAATCGTCGAATCCAGTTGACTCTTAGGTCAAATAAAGGTTAAGGAGAAGACGCTCTGAATTGCAGATCCCATAACTTTTCGATTACAACACCGTAATATTTTAATAAAATTATATATGATGCCACAGATTGAGTTGTACACCTGGGCAAGAGGTTATTCTACATGCAAAAACAAATCGAAACTATCAAATAAAAGTTTTCCCTACGAAGCTTTGTCTCCAAGATAATCGAACATGAAAATCTGCTGGATACACATGCAATTGAATAGGACTTTGCCAACGCGTCTGTTCATCACATTCTATTTCCACTTATTGCAATTACGAATACGCGATGAAATTTGTAAGTGGTTCTTTTCGAAAAGCCTTATATGAAAAAAATTTATTCTTGTTTTTCGACTTATTTTTTCTTATAGAATCACCTCCTGCCCCGTTGTACCATCTGACCTGAGACACCCTATATATGTACAAATACTATCATAAGATAAACATTTCATAAACATATTATCAGGCACTCAAGATTTAGATATTAAACATGGATTAGAATATAGAACTTGAATTATCAAACGTTTATAGTCTAGAAGGCCCGATGCAGACGAGCGAGTCTTGTCGCGCGTCGTCGCAGCGGGTATTACACGCTCGTCTGTAATGTAAAAGGTCCGTGCAGATTTTGTCACAGGTGGGCAGCGATATCCGACAGTCGATTTGCACCCGCCGCGAGCCGTGAGGTGTCGCCACGTATAAATCCGCTCGTGTGTATTTTCTGATACGTTTCTGTGTACTTCTGAAACGCGCAAGGAATGCCCGCGCGACAAAATCTGCTCGTCTGCACCGAAGTTTTACATTCAGACGAGCGTGAAACACCCGCTGCGACAAAACTCGCTCGTCTGTATCGGGCCTAAAACATTAAAACGAGTACACTGAATACAGTAACATACTAGTAGAGCAATTGAATTCTCCGAATAATCACGATGTTAACTCGTACCAATTGTTTTGTGCAATATTTTGTGGCAACTACGAAGAACTTTGTCGTGCCCTAAGATACGAGCTCTAATAAATATATTAGGAAAATCGTGACCAACCCAAAAAATATATCTTCCGTGGTTAAAATAAAAATAAAGTGCCGATTTTGAACCAGATTCTTCAGTTGTATTTTAACGGAGTTCAGTATTTTTCACGAGTCAAGTTGTCCGTGAGAAGTCGTGCCCATCCAGCTTTTCGCGATTCAGATTCGATATCACCAGCGAGGGAAGCGAGGTCAGCGCGCCCTTTGAGGCCGGCAATATCCCGCGAAATTGTATCGCGTTCGGATAAACGTTCCCCCGTGTTTTCATAATCATTTCCCTAAATCATCGCTCGTTAAAACTTCCGCGGAACGTTTCGCTTTATGGAACCACGCGGCGCGTTTGAACGCTCCTCTCCCGACCTCCGCAGCGCGCTTCGAACACACTGCGGCGCTCTCGCTGAAATGTTGCTTTGACGGTGACATTCATTAAAATGTAAAAAAATTGTATACGGACAACAGACGAATTTCTCTTTGCGCGACCGTATATCATGTGCTCTTTCCCATGACGGCGTGTCGCGTTTGAAAAATTTCGGTACGCACCGGTTCTGGCTACCCGTCGGAAAACCTCCGCCCTACTGCTGTTCAAGTCGATTGCGACGAGTGACAGGGACTTTTCAGCGTTAAAAGAAAGAAGTTATAGTCTTTTTTTCTACTTCTTGGGGAGGATACGCGTTGCAGAATTTAAGAAGTAAACATAACGGATTTTTGATTTCTTGCTTGAAGGTTTGCTATTGTCGGAAGTTATGTTGGCTTTCAACAAATTATACGTTTTACATTACACTTTATGATGTTAATTGTACATTATACAAATTAATATATTATAAAATTGAACTTAATATAGATTCAACGATGGTA